ATACCTAATTATATGTGTGGTAGTGCACCTACAACTATTCCGTGAGTGGTATCTCTCCCCATACCGACCCTGTGAATAGTAGTGAGGACAGTTATAGAGGTTCGTAATGGTTTTAGGTTCTGAGCCCTGAGTTTTTATTTAACTAAGTAAGTTACAACATTGATAAGCTAGTCACAGAGTTTGTTAACGGAAGTATCAACATTCTGTTCATAATTTTGGCTTATTTAAACTTTTTTACATAAAGATTAAAGTCACACAATGGGCTCAGGAACTGAGCACCAATATTCTGTACACTCGGCAATTTGCATTTGTTGTGCATTAATTAAATGCTTCGTTGCACAATTTTTTAAATAAAGCTATAAGGAAGCGATCTAATTTCATTAATGAAGTTAATATTATGGTACATGGTCATAACATAAGCCAATACAAGGCTTGCAAGCAGTGCGCTCTACAGTTTGTTCACTCTGCAACAATAGGCTATATTGGAAGTCCTTACAGGGATTCTAGGTAATATTTCATCTTGGACAAAATACATGGGTACGTCTAGAACACTAGGGATAGAGACGTCTCTGAACTTTTCAAGTTATTCGCATTAAGTTAGGTAGTAAATGGTTTTGCTGACAATGTTTATATTTGGTCAGATGATATTCAGCAGGAGATGCATACTCACATACTTGAAACCGGCTGAGAGCCTAGCAGTAAAGTCAAGGAGTCTGCTGACTTGACTGCATATCTCATAGATATGGGGTCCTTCATGCAAATAAGTATTGTGAAAATGGAGTAACTAATGTAAATATCACTTTGTCTCAGGTCTAGTCAGTCTTGCTGTAGTTCTCGACATCAGTAAAATCCAAATAACCATCATAGCACCTTTATTGTCTTTACAACGACAGAAAATCCAAATTAAGAAACAGCAAACGCAACCTATTCGGCGACATATTATTTTAACAGGCGCCTGTAATGGGATCTCGACGACATATTATTTTAGCAGACACCTGTAATTAGATCTCGACGACAAATATTACCGGACACCTGTAATCGGATCACTACCATACTCCCTAAAATCCCTGCTAAATGGCACACGTTCCCCTCCACAAATCGTATTATAGGCACGCACCCCAGCCAAGAGTCATTAGGTTTTATGACGTGTTCTCCGTAATGAGTGTCGTATCCCTAAGCAGCCCTAATATAGTCGTAAACACCTGGAAACAGGTTTCTGTGGAGCCGGGAGTTGGATGCGACGGATTCCTGTATGACGAACGATGACGGCTAGCGATGCCGAGCAAAAAATAGGTGAATCATCGAAAAAAAAGAATGCCAAAGCAAAATAAAAGCTTATACTAGCATTGCGTTTTGTGTAGTTAATGATATTTATTATTATCTAAATAATAAAGCAGATTATGAAATTTGCATGAAGCAAAATTTATCATCTAATTGAGAAAATAAGATTTATGTATTTTCTTAATTAGGTATATGGGCGTAAAACTGTACAACATACACAAGTACACATAACGTCAATAGGCTCTGATATGAATCTCTGTTGCATTATAGTTTACTTCGATACAAACACTCGTCGAATAATTTGATATTTTATTCATATTATTGGGGTACTACGTTTTTTGTATTTGACAATACAATGAGAGAGAGAGAGAGAGAGAGAGAGAGAGAGAGAGAGAGAGAGAGAGAGAGAGAGAGAGAGAGAGAGAGAGAGAGAGAGAGAGTTAATATATCATCATATAAACAACAGATAAGGAAAGGAACATTCCAAGCGACAGAACTCTTAGACAGTAAGTAATACTGCTGCATACCTCACGATAATAGCTTAGTTATACCATCTTATACCTGCTCTACGATTGTCCCAAATACCATCCCATGGGTCAGTCTGTAAGCTGTGGTCTATCGCATACCTCTCCAGCCCACTGATTGTCCATCAATCGTAGACCGTCCAAAAAATCACATTCCTCCAAATCCGGTCCACTCCTCGTTCATATATACTAGTATATCCATTTCTAGAATCCCCCATATCTCTTCTATGTTACATTCTCTTACGAAACCATATCTTAAGTAGTGTAATTAAACAAACAATTGTCATTACAGCCACATGAAGTGGACCTGCTTGGCTCACCCTCTGAACGAGCTGTAATCGTTTTCTGGCCGTATGACAGACCATACGATACTTATCTCTGAATCTCCTGACATCAAGGCTACGGCTAGACGAATGACGATTACAATTGTTTAGATCTGAACATAAGTCAGAGCCGAAGAAAGACGGTAAAAAATAGAGGAGATGGAAAGAAAGAGAAGGTGAGGGGATAGGAAAAGTGAAATGAGAGAGAGAATGATACTGATATTAATCAATAAATGTTCATTATTAATCAGCCACATGATAACGAAAGGAAGTATTAATAACATTTCTTACTCTAGTTATAATATAACAAATTCTAGCATACATCATGCGGCTTCAGGAACGAATTTCCTCGAATCAATTTACTTAACGTGTGCATCAATAGGACAAAGCAACACGATGTGATCAATCTTAATAAGAAGGCAAAGACAAGTTCGAAGAGGGGTAAATGGTACCTACTTCTCAAAAGTAAGTAGACCTAATTTAGTTAATTAGACAGCAGGGGCAATATAAAAGGGGAATAAACAGGATAAGCTTAATAGCTGTCAGTAGGCATATAGCAGTGGTCTTATGCCCTTAATGATTATTGTGTTATTGAAGATTATTCAGTTATGCGCAGGCCTTCTGGGATAATAGTAAATAACCTTTTGAACAATGCAGGGGTCAAAGGGCATAAATAATTACGCATAAAAATATAGATTTGTGATAAGAGACGTTGTTTATGACGGAAAAGTGTAATTTACTCAAAGGAAGAAACAGTCAACTAGAGAAGATTAAGAACTTTTGTGTTAGAGAGAGAGAGAGAGAGAGAGAGAGAGAGAGAGAGAGAGAGAGAGAGAGAGAGAGAGAGAGAGAGAGAGAGAGAGAGAGAGAGAGAGAGAGAGACAGTACACACACACACACAGGAAGATCTTAATGTGTGTGTTTACGCCCAGCTCGCACCACCCCCCGTGAACGACGTCTCCTGCTCCAGCTCCTCTCGTAAATAATTCTTGAATTACATTCCTTAACTCGGTTCACGCGTGGTCTTCCTCGCCTGGCCAATTTATTGCTTGAAAACACTATGTATAAGTGTCTGATTTCCTCCACCTACCATCTGTTTTCTATTGTCAATTATTTTATCAGAACTGCTATTATTTTATCCACAGGAAGACATAAATAGAAACCAACAAGTATTTTAGCATTTGAAATGAAGGAAATACATTTGTAAGGTTTTCCTGTTCAATTGCACTAATAATTATTCTCATCTTATTTCTAACAGCTGCAATGCAAGTTAGGCGCTGATTTGTAGGTATTACACAGTACGCCCAGTATTTGTATTGCTGTTTTCGTTTATTGCGGGGATAAGTATATTAATATACACTCTCACGGTGTTCCATGAGGTTGTGTTAGAACTCCACGAGGAAACTACTTTTGATATATAACGATGCGGGGTCAAAGCATATATATATAAATACATATATAATATATATATAAAATATATATATATATGTTATATAATATATATATATATATATATATATATATATATATACATACATACATACATATATAGATAATGTATATAACAAAAATTTATCAAAATGGCTATCTGCCCACATTTATTATGATATTTGCTTACACCATGATATTGTTTACATTATAGGAATATATATATATATATATATATATATATATATATATATATATATATATATATATATATGTATATATATATATATATATAATGTATATATAATGATATATATATAATGTATATATAATGTATATATATAATGTATATATATAATGTATATATATATATATATATATATATATATATATATATATATATATATATATATATATATATATATATATATGTCGTACCTAGTAGCCAGAACGCACTTTTTGGCCTACTATGCAAGGCCCGATTTGCCTAATAAGCCAAGCTTTCTTGAATTAATATATTTTCTCTAATTTTTTTCTTATGAAATGATAAAGCTACCCATTTCATTATGTATGAGGTCAATTTTTTTTTATTGGAGTTAAAATTAACGTAGATATATGACCGAACCTAACCAACCCTACCTAACCTAACCTAACTTATCTTAATAGGTTAGGTTAGGTTTGGTAGCAGAAAAAGTTAGGTTAGGTTAGGTTAGGTAGGTTAGGTAGACGAAAAACAATTAATTCATGAAAACTTGGCTTATTAGGCAAATCAGGCCTTGCATAGTAGGCTGAGAAGTGCGTTCTGGCTACTAGGTACGACATATATATATATATATATATATATATATATATGACTATACAGAGTAATCATGCATGACTTGGATATTTAAAGCCTCTTCATCACTATCTTTATAACTATTTGTATGAGTGGAGGCACACGGCGTCTACCCTGTTCTTTCTTACACATTTAATATCATTTATTTCCCCCTGGCGTCGTAGCCAGGAGTGCCAGTCCCCTCCGGCAATGTGATGCGGCTCACGGCCAGCTGGTAATTCGAGAATCCTTCCCCTTAAGGGTAGCGAGAATACGAGAGCTTGACAACGGGGAAAGGGGAAAAGGCGAGGGGAAAGGAAACAAAAGCTTACGTGGATTATGACACACTCAGATGTTTGTTAGCCGGGCGGCTTTCATCCAGCTGAGGGAGCGAGCGGTCCGCCTCGCGCTCCAAGACTTTACCCGCTCGCGGTATTGAAATCTCCCGAAGTTAAAAAGACAAAATTCTTTTTTTGAGTTGTGATTGGGGTGGGGGGGAGATTATGTGATTTTTTTTGTATTTCTTCGTAGAAGGAGAGGTAGTCGGTTCACTATTTATAGAGAAAGGTAAATAATCTTTCTAGTTAGTGTAAGGAAGACTTAGTGTGCATGGCATTAGTGGAGGCTTACCTGACCCGGCGACGTGGATTTTCTTCATCCAGGGATAGATGACGGGCTGGCCGTTGGCGTCCAGCTCCGTGACCGTTTCTTCCGGTGAGCCTTCGACGCCGCCTGCACCCATGTGTTGCGCCATCTGGGCGCCCATGCCACCTCCCCCGCCCGCGCCGCCCGCAGAGGGGTCTGGTGACGCCACCGGGGACCTTGGCGGCACTTGATGCTGCTGTAGGGGACTGTGGCAGGGCGCGATCTGGGGGCTGATGTGGGCGGCCATGGGCTGGTGTTGGGGCATGACGCACGCCTGCTGGTAATAGCCCGCATGGTTGTACTGCATGGCATCGCGCCCATACTGCATGCCAGCCTGGTGCATGCCATGGTAGGGGTAGTGTTGGGCAGGGTTGTAGTAGTCACTCTGCGGCGGTATGTAGGAGTTCTGGCTGTATTCCTCCGGTGGGGGAAACTTGGGGTCCACGTACGGTCCCGAGTTCATCAAAAACGAACTCATCGTCATTAATTTTTGGTGATTTGGACCCAAATAATATTACTTGTGAGTAGTGCCTCGACCGTTGGGTTTGACTCCTCCTAGCACCGACAATTAGCATACCACGTGACCTGTGAGCACCAATACGAGGGGCTCCGTGTGACCCGCGCTGGCTACGTCACCATGATTAATGAATGGAGAGAACGAACCACCAGGGCTGGTCGGGCTCTGCGCGCGTCCCGACCCGACCACCCGACCGATCGCCACAAGTCCCCGATAAGCACTGAGCCCGGGGGTGGAGTTCTCCTGACGACGGGGCAGCAGCAGCTGTAGGGCCCGGGGGGCGGGCACCTGGGCGAGGCTGAGGGCACTACTACCTGCCCTTACACCCACTCTCACAAGGCTCACTCACTGCACTGATCGATGGCCTCTGTTCACGTGTGCTTCGTCCAACAGCCAGACGATGATTGGCGTTGATTTACTGCCGGCCGGGCCCCATGTGTGTGTGTGACCTGCGCACTGCCACTGCGCACCTCCAGGCAAGGGTTAACATGCCCCCTCCCCCCCTACTATTCTTACTTAAGACGAGTGTGTGTGTGCGCGGGCGATGATTGGCCCCCCACCCCTCTGTTGGATCCGCCACTCAAGTGGGTTGACTTGGTCTGCCTGCAGCCGCCATTGGCCACACTTGCTCTTCTGTTGACGACGAGAGCACTCGGACCAATTTACCCCGACGCGTCCGTCGCCGAGGTCCAGCGGTAACTGCTGCCGTGTTGTGTTCCAGCTGCGTCACTCTGCAAGGCGGACACACAACGCCTCTGTCACGGCTGAACCACAACAGTATCACCAGCTTACACTTCCTCGTGTGTGTGTGTGTGTATGTGTGTGCCTCTACTGGCGAATACGTCACGACCCGTCCGTCCGTCCGGCTCTCACCGATACAATTAGCGAAGTGACAGAGGGCGGGGGAAGAGCGGCGTAGGCGAGGCAACAGGAGGAGGGGCTCCGTACCTCACCTGCGGCTGCCGCCTCTCGTCTCGAGCCCCGGCCCGCGGAACTCCCCGGAGACTAGCTAGTGAGAAAAATTAACCGATTGTATCGGTGAGTGTTCCCCCACATACCTCCGTCACGTCTCCTGTGTGCCCACCATCCTGCTGGCCGACCATGTGTATTTTGTAAACCATCCTCGCTTGTCATGCGCCCTTAGAGCGTGCGTGCATGCGTAGGTGTGCTTGTATTCTCAATGAAGGAAACTAAGTTTTTTGTATTATTATTACCAGTGCATGGGAATGTATATTCTTCACATGCATAAGTGAACATTCTTTGAAATATATTTGTATGGTGGGCGAGTGGTGTAAACATGAAGCATATTCCGGCTCACGGAAGTGGAGGACGTGCTAATTTCTCTTTACGATCTGTCTTAAAAACACAAGGTAATTTTGCAGCAGTGTTCATGGATATTATATCGCTTAATTGGATACTATTTTAATGAACGTCGGGTATTAATGACGCTTGACCCCCGCAAACCACTTATTTTTTGGCCCACATTACTGTAAGTGCAAATGGATATATAGGTTCTACTTCATTATCGGTACTTATATCATAATATGTTGTAAGTAAATTATCCGTGCCATTTTAGCACGTCACAAAAGACACAAAATTCCCTTACTCCTACATAATTATACTGTGCAAATGCAGCTAACAAAATACGTCATAAGTACGTCTTTTCAATAGCCTGTAATTATTCCAACCACTTTGCCAGCACGAAAATGTCTCCCCCTTGCGCTTCTAAGAATACAGCTTAATATAAAATTGTCGCACGTATTTTGCATAATACATGGTTTTGTTTCATTTTTGCAAATTATACGTTTTTATTTTGGCAAACTGTTGAGACAGTAGTGGTTGGAGGTGCTGCCGGACGGTCGGGCCGGAGGAGGCATGGCCGGACACAGTCCCTTTGCTGTTTAGAATTACCGCAAATGGCAAGAGACGCCCATCGGAAGTAACTTGGTTCCTCCTGCCATGTAATTAACTGAAACTTGTACCTGGAAACCACATGCTAGTGATCTGTTGATCCCTCATTATACCGTACCGTCCTCTGTCTCTCTTTCTCTGTCCTCTTCCTGCCCTGAATGTGTGTGTGTACGCGCTTCACAGCCCCGAATCAACACCAACTTCATCGTCCATGAACTTCACCTGCTCACGAAGTAAAGAGACTAGGATTTAAGTATACTGTGTTCTTTCTTTTCCTCCTGCGCGTAATTCCTCCGTCGCATAGCGCCAAAGCGATCATTTTACTCAGCCATTGAATGGCGCCTACGAGATCCTTTAACTCATCCGTTCAATAGCAACACCAAGGTTATTAACTCTTTTGTAATGTAGTGACACTTCGGCGTTTTAACTCAGTTTTGCAACATCACCGTTTATGCGTAACTCCCCCGTCAAACAGCGACATCACGATCCCGTAACTCATCCGTCAAGTAGCGGCACCTCGGCGCCGTAACTCATCCATCAAGTAGCGGCACCTCGGCACCGTAACTCATCCGTCAAGTTCCGTCACCACTATCATCTACTCCTACCTGGACCTCCTCATGCTCCTCGTGGGTACTGCGATAAGGCACTCAGTGCCCATCAGTTTGTTGGCGGTAGAGCTAACTGCTGAAGACTATTTGCTCTATCTGTCTTGGTGACTTCTTTTTATAATTACGTATTTTACAACTCACAATGTAGTGAAATGTAAAATAAGTAATTCCCACTACATTTACAATGTAGTGGGATTTTTATATTTATAGTTATATCTCATAATGACTTTATTTTACTATAAATTAAATTCTTTTCCGGGTATATTTTGTTTAGTAATTTTATTTTACTTATATGCATTTTTTTTATTCATAGTCACCTCGTTAAAATTCACAAGAGGAATAATTCTTCATTTATCCCCATTTTTATTTAGATGTATTCATTTAATTATAACAAGCAGCAATAAATCGTTACAACTTACTTATTTCTCATTAGTAATGTTTATTAAAACATTATGTAACAAAATCAGCCGAAATGAGTTCAGCGATAAGAAGCCTTGAGCAGTCTTCGCGAAAGTCCCTTCTGGAAAACCTGCATTATTATCCCTCCAGGAAAAATGCACAATCGTTTATTTAGAAAATACGGCATTATTGTCACTATGGAAGACAGCATTAATGCCCTCGCAGAAAAGTCCGCAATGGTCTCCCTTAAGGAAAAACAGAAATAATCCTCCCTGTAGAGAAGAGGGCGATTTTGTCCCTTCAATAAAGACCGTATTATTTTCCCTTCAAGCAAGACCGCATCTTCTTAACGAAACAAAAAAATAGAGATATATAGTGTCCCTTCAGAACGTGTGCCTCCTCTAATGACCTTAAAACAGAGTCGAGGAGGGGGAAAATGTATCAAGAAATTACCTTGATGACTCGTTACAGAAAGTGGGCAATTCATTTCGTGGCTGGGTCGATAAGAGGGTCTCAGAGGTACAGTGATTACCTTGAGCTTAGCTGATTACTTTTCATCACCACCCACTTAGTTTTGATATTACCTCTGCAATTATTTTTAGGATTTTCTTGAATTTCGATAATTATTTTTTTCGGGGGGAGGGTGAGGGATATTCCCTTTATCGTGACTTACAGAAATGTGCTTGGCCTCTATATATTATCTTGCATTTTCTTATTTCGTACATTTCATCTCCATTTAGACTTCTTTTATTTGCTTTGTTTCGTTTCCATTGACCGTTGTTGTTCATTTTTATCCTTGATTCTTTCACCTAAGTTTAATATTATTTTTAATTGAAGCTAATTATTTTATCACGTCCTCTATCTGTTAGATATAAAACATTTATGAGACTATATATATTATTGCCTCAACATTTGATCTAATTATTTCTAGCATTTGTAATCTGTTCTAGTATTACTGTCAGAGCAATTCTAAGTATTGTTTTATTAATTATGTTTCTCAAGTGCATACATAAATTATCACCAGATTGGTATTCACGACTTTTTTCCTAACATTTTGATATGGGTATTATTTGAGTCCAGCATTACACTTTCCTTGTTTTCTTTAATAACATGTTTTCTTGTGTCGTAATTAAAGAAAAAAATGGTTTAATTTGCATCAGTTTTCTTGTGGTATCGGCTCATATTTTTTTATTCAGGTAGCTTTGCTGATTAATTGATTAATTTTGTAAACTTCTGTATGTTTAGTAAGATTTTTGTCTCTGATTTGTGTATGAACACAATTATTATTATCCAACATTCAGTTTGAGATTATTCTGCTAGTTTTCCAGCGTTTTAACAAGTCATTCTCCTAAAGGAATTAATATAATACCACCTTGAGATGATTTGGGGGCTCAGCGACCCCGCGGCCCGGTCGTCGATCAGGCCTCCAAACTGAAGTCCAAACCCACACCAGGACATAATATTTAGATCATACCGCACTAGAATATTCTGATCTGTGTTTTAATTTTCCTGAGGTTTTCCCAGTTTGGAATTCAATACCAGGTTCGACTTTTTATTTGATGTCACAATATTCACATCAGGAAATATTTGCATTGATTACAACTATCATCAATATTATATGCAAAAGCAAATTAAGAAAAATTATATTTAATCATCTTGGTTGTTATAATCTTGTTGTATATAGATATATATTTTGCTCTAATTAGATTAAATATGTTAATAATAAGTGTATGTTAATAAGTTAATAATATGTATTATGAAAATATATTTGATCTCGTGTTGTGCTTCATTGAAAGAATATAGTTGATTTTATTAATTTTCAATAAATTATTATTATCAAGATTCAGTTTTATGTAATATAATAACAATGAATTAAAAGATAAAATTATATAAATTGTTTACATTTTTATCCCTGTTCAAAATGCATCTAACACTTATACATGTGACAAATGTGTAAAATTATATGCACGTTAGTATAGCTGTATGCAAAACTCTTTTATCTATTCACAGATCAACATCACGGATGTTATCAGTATCTGTATAGAGTCGTTGGTGCACTGCACTCTGACCCCTTGCAGACAGAACCTTTTAATATTGTCATTACTGTATATAAACAAGACAAGACCTCTTCTGCTCACTACTGACGCTGCCATATCATCAGTAATCAGTAATACACGTTCCAATGTTGGTATATTATGTATTCTGTTAAGTTTATTAGTTAATGAATGATTAATAGATCATCTAATAGATTTATTGTGTCCAAAAGATCGGAAATACTTAATAATATAGCTGATACAATTGTTTCTCGCTTCTGGCTATTTAAACTTCAGGCTGCTAATGATTTACTGCTTGATAATTAGTGTTATCAGCTTGTCGATATGTTAGCTCTGTTACTGGCGTATTTAATATATATATTATTGCCTCTTTATATACAGAGAGTTGGCTTCCTCTGAATTTGTAATTGTACTTAACTATACTAGACAAATACTTGACAGTATTTTAGGCAAACATGGCTGATGATGCAAATAGTATAAACTCCGTTTAAAATTTTATGATAAAGTCGGAAGTGTATAATTGAAATATTATTGGGGTGAATTTCATCACTCAGAATTAATTTATAATTCATTGTGTCGGGGGACAGAAAGCCAGAGTGTATTCATATACGGTAGACTTATATCGAGATCCCCCATCCCCCTCAAGGCCGAATTACAGACCCCGCCCAGAATGCAACCCCAAAACAAGCTGACTAACTACTGAGTTCCTACTCATTGCTAGGTGAACAGTTGCATTAGATGAAAGGCAATGTGCCCAAACATTTCTGTCCCCGCATGGGGATGAAAAATAGCTATATATATATATATATATATATATATATATATATATATATATATATATATATATATATATATATATATATATATATATA